GTGAATACACTTGTTCATGGGAGGGAAGTGAAGTTAGGTTAGTGGAATTAGGAGTGTTATATATTCCACCAATTACAGATCCTTTGTCGACCAAAATTCTCCACCTGAAGTGCAATTATCTTTTGGCAGAAATCAAAAATTGGCACCAGTCAGGGTGGTAAGCAGAGGCACAGCATTGAGAGAGACTGTTTTGTAATAAGGGGTCTTCTAAGATGGGTAGTGTGTGAGCAGAGACCTGGAAGTAGACAGTGAGTGCAGAAAGCGAGTTGTCAAGGAACCAGAGACAAATTTGTACTACTGCCTAGCAGCTCTGAAGGCCAGGGGGCATGGGAGGGCGGCAGAGGTATGACTTCATGCTTCTGTAATTTCCAGATTGCCTGCCCCAGGAGACTCTGCTGGGAGTCTGCCAGGAGGGGTCAGGCTGCCATGAGATATACCTGGCATGTGCTAGGTCTTAATAAATGTTTGTTTAACAAAATTTGTTTTCAGGGCAAAGGAGTGGGGCTAGGAAAATACACAGATCACAAATCTGAAAAGCTCATAAAGCAATTTCTTTTAAAACTTTCTCATTATGCTAAATTTTTTTCCAGAAAGAGGGAATTCACTGACTATGGAAACAGCCTTTGCCGGTTCCAAATATTTAAAATTCCCCTCCAGAGCCCTACCTAGTGGTCAAAGGGTTAAAGCGCAGCACTATGAAACAATCAGCAGTCACTGCAGCACAAATTTGATCCTTCCCAGGGAGGTGACCCACATGGCAGCAGACCTCTCCTGTCTCGCCTGCTGCTCCTCTTAGTGTACTTCATCAATCTGCCTGTTCTGCTCCCCACTCTGTCTCTGGTGAATCTCACCCCCCCCCAACACCTCTGGCCTGTACCCCAGTACTTGTGTGCATAAATAAATAAATCTTAAAAAAGAAAACTCCCCTACATATACCCTGGTCTACTCCTCAATAACTACAGCAATTCACTGATGTTGTCATTTTGAATCACTCAGAACCAATCAAATCCTTGTCACACTCAACCTTTTAAATATTTTAATAGAGTTCCATGACCCTTGACCTCCAAATATTATTTCCTCAGGCAAGGGCTATAAAATGACTCCCACTGTTTGATCCAATAATTCCACTTGGTGAAATATGCTCAGTGGAAATAATGCAAGTAAGGATGAACAAATGTGTGCAACTATTCGTACTCTAACACAGAAAAATTTAGAAACAATATAAGTTGGAATGATGTTCCCCAAATAATGGAACAACCACTTAACTGAAGCATCAAATTATCACTAATGAAACTTTTTCATTGAAACTTTCACTTTTTTTTTTAGAGCCCTCCCTGGTGGTGCAACGGGTTAAAGCACCACATTATGACGTTATCACAGCCACTGCAGCAAGAGTTTATCCCCAGTCAGGGAGTGACCTACATGTCACGGCAGACTTCTCCTGACCCACCCGCTGCTCCCCTCTGCAGTGTATTTCAGTAGATTTGCCTGTTCTGCTCCCCACTTTGTCTCTGGTGAATCCTCTCACCCCCTACACCTCTGGCCTGTACCCCAGTTCTGTAAGGATAAATAAATAAGTCTTTAAAAAGAAAAAGTTTCACTCTTTTAAATTTTCACTTTGTTAAAAGGATTTATTTATTTATGAATACAAGAGCTGGGGTGTAGGCCAGCGGTGAGAGGATTCACCAGAGACAGAATGGGGAGCAGAACAGGCAAAAAGTGACTGAAATACACTGTGGAGGGAATGCAGCAGGCTGGCGAGACAGAAGAGGTCTGCCGTGCCAATTGAGTCAGCTCCCCTGGCCGGGATTGAAGGGATAGAACTCCTGTTGCTGTGGCTGCCAGTAGCTTTAATTGTTGAAACTATTGTTTGTGCCATCTGGGAGGCCCCACCTCCCTGACTATTAAAGGAATACTGTCAAGAAAATAAAGCCCAAACTAGGGGAAATTAAACAAAAGGTAGAATTAACATATATACTATGCTGACTACTTATCCTAAAATAACTATGGTCTGGCCCCCAGTTCCCTCAGTAGACATAGGTAAGTATATGCTCTTTCACGTCTGTTCCTAAAATTCCCCCAGTACCTCCATTAATTCCCCTTTACTTAAGACTTGGTCATAAAGACTGGGCCACCGCCCTCCTCCCAGGAGTAAGCAACCTCCCCCAGGTAAAATGACAGCCACATAAACCAGATAGTAATCATTAAGACACAGGTGTTTCTTCTGCCTTCTCTCATATCAGAATGACACTACTTCCCTCATAAGAACCATACTGGAAATTTTCCTGAGGGCGCTTGAGCTATTACTTAAACTCAAGCAAGTACGGAGAGGGAAGGTTTTATTCTCTGGCCCACAGGAACTTATCTCTCACTTGTAGAAGCTCTTTCAGCGCTGGCTAAATAAAGTTGCCACTTTTTAAAAATTTATTCACTTATGCATACAAGAGCTGTGGTGTAAGCCAGAGGTGCAGGGGCAGGGAGGGGCAGCTGTGAAAGGATTCACCAGAGACAGAGTGGGGAGCAGAACAGAAGCATCTACTGAAATGTACTGCTGAGGGAAGCAGTGGGCCAGACCGGAGAGGTCTGCTGCGCCCTGTGGGTCAGCTCCATGGTGGGGGATCTAATTTGTGCTGCAGTGGCTGTGGGTAGCTTCAAATGCTGAGACTTGAGCCACCGGGAAGGTCCAAAGTTGACACTTTTTAACATGATGGTTATGTGGTGGAAAAAGTGATGAAGTGTTTCAGGTGTTTCTTTCATGCCCTGTGACAGTGCAGATTGAAGCCCTATAACTGAGTGGTTGTGAGTAAAGACTGGAATCAGACCGACTGGCAAGACAAGAGAGGACTGTCATGCCACACATGGGCCAGCTCCCTGGCCAGTGAAAGAACCCAGGCCGCAGTGACAGCACTGAGACCCAACCCTTAGGTGACCAGGGAGGCCTGGTGTCCCCTTTTCTATGGGAAAGAAAAAATGACGTTTTTTTCCAGTTCATGTACTCTCATAATTTATATTCCAGTTCCTAATGTGGGAGACTTGAATTGTTTCCCCCAAGTAATTTGCTCAAGATTATGGAATGGAAAGCCTGGTAAGGGAAGCTTCAGACTCTCAACAATGGGATTGGATGAGCAGGCTTTGGAACAAGTGACGAAACGAAAGTTCACGAAATATCATCTAAGAAAGTTTCCTAGGTGCTGGCTTCAGTAACCAGCTACTGGGCAGCTTTTACAGAGTGGACACCAGGGGGTAGCAAAATCTCACTCTTCCAGTTTCCAGTTTCTCTAATTAAAGGGAAGTTGGAGTCTACCATGACTGGAGAGCCCAAAACCCAGTGATGGAAAAGAGCCAGTTCCCTGCCTGTAATTCTAGGGGGGATGTGATGGTCACTGGAGTTTGCTGCCTTGGGTTATGTTTGACTCTGCAGAGCACAGGGACGGTCTTGCCTGCAAGAAGGAGGCATAGTTTTCTTTTTCAGATCCAGCTGAGTGGGAAAAATGTGGAGTTTAGGTTTAGAGGTGAAAGAAGAGCCCGTCACCCAGGTGACACTCCCCTTTTCCTTCCCCCCTGTTCCAACAGTTACCCAAAGGCAGCAAGAGCTGCCTGGATGCCAGGACTTTTTCCAAACATAACCACCTAGCTGCAGTGGAAACGCCTTCACTCGCTTCTCTGGTGTCCCCCATCTCTTCTCAAAAGCCCACCCTTTGGAAGCACTCCCAACTTCCCAAAGCTTACAGAGGGCGGACAATCTCCCTGCTTTGTTTAAGCCTCCCCCAACCCTCCTGGGACACACTGGCCTGGCTTCATTTCCCATCCAGACGTGTGGAGGATGGGTTAGGCTAGAACTTTCCTAACGAGACTACCCCTCTTTGTCTACTTCTTCAAGCAGCCTTCCCTACCGCCTGAGCCTAGGGGACCCAGAGAGGTTCCCCATCCCCACCCCACAAGGAGAAAGAGTCAGGCATCCAGCATGGAATCATGGGTTCTGACTAGGAAGTCTGGCATCGTCCCTCCTTTACCCCAAAAGAGACAGGGAATTGGGGCGGTAAGAGGGGGGAGCGACAGTGAGGAAAGGACTCAACACATCAGCCGCTGCGAGGTGCACGTTTCCTGCAGGAGGACCCAGATTCCGGGACCCTGCTCCGGTTCGGTCACGATGCCCACCCCTACCCAAGCCTTCCCAGCTCCCTAATTCCCCCACGCCTCCGCCTTCTCCTGGCCGCACAGAGAAGCCCATTGTCGTAGCCCGAAGGCTCGAGGCTCGAGGCCCGAGGAGATGGGAGGGGGAAGACCGGGACCAGCAAGCCCCCGGAGACTGGAAGGAATCCCCTAATTTCTTTGCTCTTCGCTCCATCGATGTGGGCAAGGGTTAGGGGTGTCTTCTGAGCCCTGGGTTCTGTCTGTGTCTGGCAACTGAAGGAAGGGGGAAGGGGTTCCCAGGAAAGAAGGAGGCTTGTGGACATCGAGTGACTCCAGTCCTGGGCTTGAGACCTCGGGGGATCCCCGCAAACCCGGGTCTCCAGAGTGTCTCTTGCAGGGGCTAAGCTGATCCCAGGGAAGAAGACGGTGGCGGTGGCGGGAAAAGAGGGGCATCCTCGGCGGGGCTGGCTTCCGAGAGCAGGGTCCGGGCTACCCCTGGGGGGCGGGGCCCTCGGAGGGGCCGGAGTGCCGCGGGAAAGCCCTGCAGATAGGCTGGGGGTGGGGGCGTCGGGCAGCGGCGGGGAG